AATAATAATAAAAATTATAATAATAACAATATAACAGCAACAACAAAATAATAACAATAATAATAATAGTAGTAGTAGTCGACAGAACAGAACAAGTCAGTAGAGAGGAAGTGTTAACAGGGCTGGAATTTACAATCAGAGGTTTTGTAGACCTGGGTAGGGTTAGGGTTAACAGCAAGCCGCCGTCTCCTCAGAACAACCGTTATTTTATTAAAACATAAATACATAAAAGCAAACATCTCCAGGTTTTCCCTTGGAGGGAACCGACTCGGTGTTTTGTTGTGTAACAGGAAACCCTGGCATGAATAAACCCTCTAAAACAGGGATAAGATGCTGGTGTGGCAGGTCAGCACACTGAGTTTAACAAATCAGATCAAAGCAAACGTTCCCAGGAACCACTGAAGTAGAACCCTGTCCTGGAAATACAGGACGTAGAACTCCTGAGTGGAGTCGAATCACCACAGACTGTCTTTGTCTTTTGAAAACTAAAGGGAAGATCTTCCCCTGGTCCAGGGCTAAGATGCCCCCTCTTCTCCCCGTTGCCCGCCTGTACGTGTTTTATTTTGTTTTATTCTAACTATATATATTTGAATGATTTTATGCATCTTGTGCAGTTTATTTATTCATTCATTATTTACATTATTTTCAGGGGGAATTTACCCCAGTTTACTCTATATTATATATTTATTGTTAATGTTTATATTTATATATAAACCCATTTTATCCTTCTTTTAAACCTGTCAGTCTGTCCAGAGTTTGACCTTTTAACCTGCAGGTCGCTTCAGCCTCCAGGTCTCAGACTCACTTTGTGCCATTTAGAGACGGGGGGGGGGCGGGGGGGGGAGGTGAGCTGCACCTGCACATCCAGCCTCTCTCTCTCTCCCTCCCTCTCTCTCCCCCTCTCCCTCCTTCCCGGCCACTAACAGGATCATTGATATCCAGCCTGCAGCCCAACTCGTCGATAACTGCGGACCAACTTTGACGCGCAGCTCCGAGCGCCGAGCAGCAAGTTGCAGCAGGACTCTGGGCTGTGAGATGCTCTGAGAAGAACCGGGAGAGAAACACTTCTCCACAGCCAGGAAGCGCGCATTTCACAGGTAAGACTTGTTTCTTACTTCAATGCGTGCAGACTGATGGAACCTTTTCAGAACACTTTTCTTCAGTAACTTTGCTCCAAATGTTCCGCAGTGTAACTCCAGAGAAGTGCGATGGTGGATGTACCTGCTGCATCCTCAGGTGAGCCCAGACTGGCGCCTGCATGTCAGAACGTTGCTTGTTTATTCAGCGCATGGCTGCATTTTAAGTCATTTTTACGCATGTGCTGTTTGATTTTCTGTTTTAATCACCACGTTTGGCGCAGTGAGCAGAGGAATTAGAGGCTGTTTGGTTCATTCAACAGTCACAGAAAATTAAACGCAGATCATCCCGGTTTACTCACATTTTAAAGAGCAGAAGTGGCACCAGCCTTCAGCCGCGCCGGTGCCAGTCAGCCGCTCCTCCAGCTGCGCCCTGCCGGCCGGGAGAGCGCGCTAATTACACGACTGTTCCTCCACGTTGCAGATGCGGGTCGCAGGGCAGTGTGCGCCGGATGCCACCGGCCGATCCGGGACCGGTTCCTGCTCAGAGTCACTGACGGCCTCTGGCACGAGGAGTGTGTGCGCTGCGCGGCGTGCGGGGACGCGCTCAGGAACTCCTGCTTTCTGCGGGACCGCAAACTTTACTGCAAGCGGGACTATGCAGAGTGAGTGCACGTTTCTAAGTTCTTAATGCCACACATGAAGAAATTGAAGCACTTTTAAAGCCGTTTTCCAGCTGGATCCATGTGGCCACAGAGGTTTTAAAGCAACACACAAATGCGCTTTGATTGAATGCATGCGTGTGTATGAATTTATAGAACCTTGTTTAATCAAATAAACTGTTAAATTAATGACAGTCAGCTGCATGTGGAGCCTGCACAGATGAGTTTTTACATTAGAAGCTGATGAGGCCGTAGCAGGGCCTGCTGGAGGGAAACATCAAACCACCTCACTGCTCCTGTTTCTGCGCAGACTTCAGCAGATTAGTCTGGTTGGGTTCATGTGTTCTTTTGGGCCAAGAGAGGAAAAATCCCTGAGTATCACAAAGCCAGTTTTTACACCAGGAGCCTGTTCAGATGTGACCTTGACTAAGTGTGTGTGTGTGTGTGTGTGTGTGTGTGAGACAGAAAGAGACAGAAAACAAGTGGTTTCTGTAATAGCGACCTAAATGTATGCCGTCCTGCTCGGTGTGGTGTCTGCTCACCTGGCTTCATGCTCGTCGCCTGTATGGTGCGAGCCGACTTCCAGGAAACTTGGCTCGGAGAGAACAAGGTGACTGTAGGAGGAAGAGGGTGGCGAGGGAGCTGGAATGTAGGGAAACTATTGTAGAGTGTACATCCACACACACACTCCGACACACACACACACAGTCACACCTTCACACACAACCCGGGGTAGAGCTCACTGACACGTTGTCAAAATGTGTTAAAATGTTGAGGCCCATTGGCGTGGCAACTGCAAGCTGGGGACAACATATGGTCCCCTCCACCTCATCCCACCCCCATCCTAAACACAAAAAACAAAAAGCACCCTCCTATTCGCCCACCTCCTCGTCCGTCATTCCTCCAACAGATACCCTGTAAACAAGAGCCAAGACTGAGGAAGAAAAACACCCTAAAAGGCAACAGCTCCAATTATTTCTGAACAATTTAAGGATGCTTGTTCTGCCAAGGAGGCAGGGAAACAAGAAATGTTGGTCCAAAATGCTGCCTGCCATCATGTTCCTATAGTAACCTGACTGATGCTGCAGTGGTGTCCGAGGCCTGTGATTGTTAGCAGAGCATCCGAACACGCAGCTTGGACTAGATATTATCCAGACATGTCTGCTCATAATGAAAAGAGCAGGACTGAGAGGTAATTAGGAGCGTGGAGCCATATGTCAGAAGGTCTGGTGCAGACGCTGAGGGTGGTGTGAACTTATTTTGGGGGACAGTGCGCTCCATGAGCCCTGGCGTTATGTGCCGGGGCATCTGGAAAGCTCCTCTGGCAGCAGCCCCTGTGAGGAGCGATGGGACGACGCCCAGCCGACCGTGAGATATCTGACCTGACCAATTAGCAGGAGGCCTGGTGCCAGAGCTCCGCCCTCTGGACTGGCTGTCCTGTCTGGGGTTATGACACCCAGAAAATCACACATGAGCAGCACTTTCTGCCCAGGAGGGTTTTAAAACTGGGCCAGAGTGGGTTCCCCTTCTTTCTCGCCAAGCTGTCCTCCTCCTTCGGTTGAGGCAGAACCAGTGCGATTGTTCCACACTGACAGCATTCGTCTCCGACCACATGCTGCTGCATCGTCCGTCTCATTCTTGTCCTGCCTTTTACCTTTGCTTTGCGCCAGCCTCCAGGTTGGTCCCGGTGCTGCTGGGTGAGCTGTCAGAGCTGCAGCTTTATGCCAGAATACAAACATGTCAAGAACTAAGATGAACACTGTAAAGATGGGCTCAGTTTGGATGAAAACAAAGATTCAGCAGATGACAAAAAAATTCAAAAGCACAAGAGAAGTTAAGATAAAATAAATGTCGGTAATCCCAAATTATTTTGTCAGAGTTTGCTCAGAAAACAAAATTACTTAAAACGAGAAAAGCAATAAGATAAAAGATAAATAAGCTACAGCTGCAGGACGTCATTTACAATCTAAACCGACAACCACGTGTGAACTATATGTATATATATATATATAGTTATGTAGTTATATGTATGTGTAGATCTATAAAACTGAATGTTTATTGACAGTGAGCTTCCTTTGGAGAACTTTTGCTCTTTGCTTCTTGGTTGCGTGTGTTTCCAGGCATATCTTAGCAGAATCCAGGATACCATACATTTTTGGCTTAAATCTAGAAAATTAAATGATTTCATATTAATTAAAACTGTTCAGTGTGTGTGACAGACGTTCATAGATAAAACCAGCATCAGTTCATGACTTTAAACTCTTGCTTTAGAATGTAAACATCAGAGAAAATGTGATTGAATGATCAGGAAATGTTCTTGACTTGAACTGAACTGCGATGAATCTAAAGATCCAAAGATGCATATTTATAGCCTGAAGCTGCAGATATTCCCAAAAAGGTTGGCTAAGTTTATAACAAACGAGTTGATCTGCTTCCAGGACTGGACCGGTCTGTGACAGAGCAGCACTGAGCGTGCTCCGTACGAGCACGCCGTCCTGTACTGTAATCTAATGAAGCCGTATGCAAACTCCTGTCTGACCGCTGATGTTTAGGTTGGTTGGACTGTCAGCAGATTCAGACTGAGCTGAACGGTTCAGCGGGCAGCCGGACCGGACAGCAGATTGGCCGTCAGATCAGCGGCGTGACTGGCGGGCGCACTTGACCCAAAGATGTGTATCTGATCCGTGGCGCTGTCGGTGTGTGTGTTGAGCAAATGATCCAGGTTAACCTGATCCAGAAACAGGATCCGTGTCTCCGCCGGTCCACCAGACCAGCAGTCTGTCTGCCCGACTGCCAAAGGTCAGCGCCGAAGTCAGAGCCGGAGCAAAGAGGAGGAGGAGGGCTCCGAGGAAAGGTTCTGCCAAACAGTCATCTTGTTAAGAAGTGCATCGGCTTCCCTCCCGGTGCGTCGTGTCGGAGGAATGCGGGCTTTCTGCTCACTCCTGTCTCTGTCATGATCTTGTCACTAATTGCCATGTCTAAATCCAGCGTGACTGAGTGTTCCCGCTCTCCTGGCGGCGGGGCCTCCGGGCCAATCATGTCGGCGGAAACTCTGAAATATTAAACACCTCGAGCTGCTCCATAAGTACGGGAGCTACTCTTACCTTTGCATTAACAAGGCTTAAGAGTCCTGGGGTAATAACTGGAGCAGCCGTATAATGGAACAGCGATTTCTCGAAACACCAATGATCTCAAAACATTACGGCCCGTAGTTTGTTCCTCGCTGACATCCAGCATTAGCATCACGCTGAGACATTAGAGCGAGTGCTTTGCTGCATCACGGAGACCCAGAACCATTCCGGGTATTTCCTCGTCTCAGGTATTTGGTTGATGCATCTTGTGTTGCCACAGGAATGCGCAGACCGCAGACGGTATGCTGGCCATATTAAAGCACATACCGCTGAGGCTGTGGGGCAGATGACGGGTCAACCAGCCCGACTGACCCTCCCCAGCTTCTGGGAATGGGCTTTACCGTTTCCATAGCGACCCCAGAGCGACGGTAAGAGGTCCCAGCAATGTTTGGCTTCAGGATGTCGCAGCTCCGGACCTTTTAACAAGGACACCTCGACGCGGGGGTTTGCTTTATGTTCGGTCCGAAGTTCTGTTGTAAATGTTTTCTAGATGTCTGCTGGAGACGAGGCTGAACGGAGGATGAAGACTTAGTACCAAATGTTCTGGGATTCACAGAAATAATCTGTTGCTCATGTTGGTGCTGATGTTTCCTTCAACACCAACGTTTCTGTTGTTGATCCCACTTCTATTGATTTATGAGCTTTTTAAAAGGTTTGATATGATCCAGTAAGTCTTTACTGGTAACCAGAATCTCAGCTGGAAGTCACTAAAACAAGGAGACACAACGTAAGAACAACTACAAATAAAACATATTTAATAGCTCAGCAGTTTTTTAAATGACCAATGAGGTCGTTTTTTCTTTTACATTTTTCTGAGAAGTCGCGCTGATCAGAATTAAAGGAAGCTACAGATAATAATTACTTTTATTATGATCATTTCTCACTGTTGGATTAATTTACAGGAGTTGCTTTAATTGGAACTCCCAGTTCAATTCATCTCATCCACATTACGTTAACAAGTCATATTGATGCCACTGGTGCAGCTTCGATCAACTTAAATGACTTGATTCCTCTCAAACCCTGATGCAACCACATTTCCATCGTAGTTTCCAGTTTTGCCAGCTTCAATGTTCTCCAGACGTAAAATGTTTGACATTCTTTCCTTTTCTTCGCTCTGTAATCCCATCTAATGAAAATGAGGTTGCACTCCTGCACAGAAATGTGAAGAAGCAGTAAACCTACTTTTACAGACACTGGCAGACTGAAGGGACAACGTTTAAGTTCAGCTTGATAGAATTCATTTAGTTGCTATAATCGAAGCAGAAAGATGAGTGAGATTCAGTCAGAGCAGAGCTGGACTTCAGCTTCGTGGAGCATCCATGGGCTCTTCTGCTTCTCCTGGTGAACACAAAACAAAGGGGGAAGGCTGTCACTTTCTCATGCCTCTGTGCTGACTGGTCTGGTGACCCAGTCGGGTCTGCAGACAAACGCCAGCTCCAGAATGATGACGCATCATCCTGCGTGACAGACCCAAAATGCGGCGGTGCCAGCCAGCGGACAATGGTCCTGCTGCTCGGGGCTGGCTCTGCCTTTGTGCGCCTCTGGTTAAGCAGACTTAGGGATAATTCCACGGATAATTCCTGGGACCAGTGGTTCAGTCTCTCCCACCGGGAGACCTGATTCCCCCCCTCTGCCTGGAGCCATGGCCTGCAGAGAGCTTTTCTCCTGCGACCCCAGGAGCACAGCCTCGGACACGGCAGCCGGAGCCACGGCAACAGTCTCCGAGGCTAAGCTCACCAGCGCTGGTTGCCAGGCGCTAAGATACACACCGCCACGCTGAGGGTATGTGTCTGAGCGGCTGCAGGAGGAGGAGGTGGAGGTGGAGAGGGGACAAGTCAGGCCGGCAGCGCTTTGAGTGACAGCTCGACTCAGCAACATTCCTCAAGTCTAACAAGCAGGTTTTCTTCCTCCCTCACAGAGCCTGACTGAGGTGTGTGTGAATCAAAGCTGGGCTCTGCTCACACTGTGTCTGTCGCTCTCCTCTGCAGCCTGTTCGCGGTGCGCTGTGGAGGCTGTTCGGAGGCCATATCTCCTGCAGAGCTGGTGATGCGTGCAGGAGCCGCTGTGTTCCACCTGCGCTGCTTCACCTGCAGCGTTTGTTCCTGCCGCCTGCAGACCGGAGAGCGCTGCGTCCTCCGGGAGGGCCGGCTTCTGTGTGCCAGAGACGAGTACCACCAGGGCCCGGCCAGCCCGACCTCCTCTGACACAGGTACAGGCCCAGCATGCTTCACGGTGCTATGATCCTGTGCAGCTTTTAACATCAAATTTCATTTTAAATAATTAATATGCAGCAGTTTTGAGGCTAAATATGAACCTGTACCAAGTTTGTTGATGTGCAAACCCAACATTTATACAAAACAAGACGAGCCGTGCTGGGACTGGACCCGGTGACTTCTGTTACTCCTGCTACTCTGCTTTTAAAAGACAACATGACGTGACGACTTTAATATTAATAACTGCTTTTCCATCTGCTCATAATGAAAAGCCAGTAGCTCAGCTCTGTGCCGCTGAAAAGCATTCTGGGAAACTAGAAAGCAGCTAAATGGAAACAATGCGGTGGGCGTTTCAGATCAGTTGCATGATTTTCTGTGTCTCGCTTTTTGTCTTGCATCTTAACCCGTTAGGTAAAAGTGAAGACGATGAGGAAGAAGAGGAAGAGTCTGGGAGGGTTTCAGGCAGACGGGTTCGATCGGAAGATGCGGAGAGCAAACGTCCCAAAAGGCCTCGAACTATTCTGACCACGCAGCAAAGACGGACCTTCAAAGCGTCTTTTGAGGTCTCGTCCAAGCCTTGCCGAAAGGTAGCGGATTTATTCTGTGTTTGAACGACAGTTTGCATGAAGTGCAGATGGATACGTGGAGTACAGGCCACTGTCCACGTTGTTCCCCGGATTTAAAACTAATGGTTCTTAGATGGTTCTTCAGAAGGTTCTCTGGTTCTACAAAGCACCTCCACCACCTGAAAAAACTCTTGATTCAGGAGATAGTTCCTCCCAGACTTTATGTAGTTATAGAAGTAATAATACGCTTCATTTTCATTTCTCCTTATTTGGTGTGGTGGCTGCTAATCGCACAAAGTCACAGCTGAGGTTCATCTTCCACTAACTCTGTGGTTTATATGAAAGCAGGAAGCAGTGAGACGCGTCCATCACAGGTTTCAGGATCTTCAGCTTCATGCTGCTCTGTGTGATCCACCAATCCAGATAAAAGAAATGATAATAAATGTGACTGTCATGGAAGGAACCCAGACGTGCTGCATGTTCTACTGTCATAACAGAACCATGTGGGTCCTAAAAATGGTTTCGCTAAGAAGACATTCTTCTAGTTTTAACTTCCTGTGCTGCATAACGGTGCCGGTTTTTGATGGTTCTTTGAGGCACTTTTGTTTTTGGTTGTTTTTTTTAGAACCTCTTTGCTACGAGGTTCTTTGTGGAGATAAAAATGGCTCCTCTGTGGCGTCACTGTGAAAAACCGTTTTGGTTGCAGTTAGCGCCTTTGTTTAGAGCTCCGTGTCACAGAACACAAAATGCACAGACAACGTTCTTACTGCGCCTCCTCGTAAAAGCTGTGAATCCACTTTAATGCCTCAGAAGCTGGCACGGAGCAGAACCTGAACATCGCTTTAGTTCATAGTTTAATTTAGTTGTTTATGTATTTGAATTGGAGGTCGAGCAGCAAGCGCCTCAGAATATGTGTGGAGCATCACAAAAGGAGAACCCCATGATGTAGACATGCGTTGAGACCGGGCTGGACCGGTGGCAGGGCTTCACATGTGTGAATGCACCGACCTTCCTCACAACACAAAGCTGACGGCAACAAAATCTACAAGCACAGATATATAAAAAATGTTTTTTATTATTTAAAAAGAAGTTTAAAAAATCACAAAATATCCTTCCTTTGCCATCGTTTCTTCTTTGCTTGAGGTGACTTGTGAGCGTGTCGCTGCTGTTTTAACCTTGAAGTGACCTTTTCCTTCTCTTTCTAATCTTTGTTACCCTCCCTCTCTGTCGCTCTCCTTCCCTCCTGACTCTTAATCCAAGGTAAGAGAGACCTTGGCAGCAGAGACTGGCCTGAGCGTCCGGGTTGTGCAGGTCTGGTTCCAGAACCAAAGAGCCAAAGTAATACAAAGTACACACACACACACACACACACAGAGTCATATGCACCGCTAATAAAAGTGCTCTTTCTGCACCGTGTTTGCAAGCCAGAGTGGAAATCAGCCTGGTTATCTCTTCATACAGGAAACTGATGACATCTCGCAGGCAGATCACTGTAGATTAAACCCAGTATTTCCTCACAAAGTGGGCTCATGTGCGGTTTCCCTCCCTCACTGAAAGATGTCCTTTACCTCACTGTTAGTACTTTGCAACTGAGCGAACACACTCGTACGCCTGGGTGGTAGGGGGAGAGGACTTTTTGTTTTTTGCGGTAAACCTGTGCACGGTGCTTTAATGTCTGCTGGTTGGTGTTTGCAGATGAAGAAGCTGGCCAGGAGACAGCAGCAGCAGGAGCAGCAGCAGACTCAGGAGCAGTGCGAACACCCGTCCCATCACACAGGTATTAGACTGCTGGGAAATGTTCATGATTTTTCTGAGTGTGTTATAAGTTAGACATAGAGGTTAGCTCTGAGACCAAACCAGTCCTACAAAAGCAGAAGATTTCATGATGCATGAGGTCCTGAAGGCCACACGAGTTTGTTAACAGGATTCTAAATAATTAACACCGACACTGGGAGAACAAAAGCTCATCAAAGACATAAGTGCACAGCGCTCATGTGTGATGTCCTGTGGGCCTCCTCTGCTCCACAGCACCCTCCTGTGGCAGTTTGACCTCTGAGATGAAGCACATGAGTTCCTCTTACGCTCATATGCAGCAGCAGCAGCAGCAGCAGCCGATGGGACTCACCTCACTGGAGCAGCAGGACTGGGACACCGAGCCCTTCAGACAGGGCCTGACTCCACCTCAGATGCCAGGAGATCACATGCACCCGTTTGGTAAAAAACATCAAAACTGCAGACATGACATGATTTGATGGCTGCAGTTTGGTGATATCAGAACTTAACCGTAGTATTGGTCCATTTTACAGCTGAATCCTAGTTCCCCCTACATTACAGCTAGCGACTTAGCTGGTTAGCAGGTTTTTCTACATTCTGTATCTGCAAAATCAGAAATGGACGCCAGGTTTAAGTGCTGAAGCTGCTGGTTTTCACGATAGCTTCACTGATTTTCTAAAAATGCACGTGCATGTGAAGAGGAGCGCTGTTCAGTCTGCAGTGTGTTTGTTTAGAATAAAATCAGCTGTAATGACGTACTGAAGGTGGATAAATGACTTAAGACAATATCATGTAACCTGAATCAGCAGCTTTCTAACAGCTTTTGAGTTGGATTTTATTATGTTGTAAGCTGTCCTTCTGTTGCAGTCCTTTACATCAGCTCTACATCAGGATTTCACTGTAACTCATAGAGTTGGGAAATTACCAACAGATCACACAGAACAGATCTTTACTGTCAGTGTTTACAGCTTTATCAGGCAGGTTAGCAGCTCATTACAGAAGAAAATAAAGGTTGCTCTGCTTTAAAGAGCAACACTGCAATAAATATAATAACAGAGAAGATTCTTACAGCTGAGGTCATATGTACAGGTAGTGCCAGGTGAGCTGTGAGCTACAACATTGCAGTAAAGGGAGATATTTTAGGAAAAGAAACTTCTAAAGCACAGGCTGAGATCTTCTCTCAAGCTCAGAGAACTGCAGGTCCTGCAGTAGAAGTCAGTGTTCTCTGTCATGACATGATGGCACATTTACAAAAGCTCCTGATGAGTCAGATGAATGCTCCTACTGACTTCCGGCTCGTGTCTGTTTCAGGTTTCAAAGGCCTGTACGGCGACGTGGACCGGGACCCTCTGTGTCAGCTGGCCGACAGCGACTGCCTCTCTCTGGGCGACTCGTCTCCGCTCACCCCCATCGACCGCCTCTACTCCATGCAGGACTCTTACTTCGCCTCCTGAGGCCGGAGGCCGGAGCCAGGCGGAGTGAGGAACAGCGTGACACCATGCAATATACCGCATTCACCTCTATACAAGCGTGATTACACTCCTGCCTCTTAGCCTCACATCCCTCTGTACAGCAGCTAGAGCCTCCCTGTACGTATGCATGACACTGTCGGAGCCTGAATGTTAGATCAACAGACTGCATCTACTCCTGTACATATCTGTCTGGGTGTGTGTTCCTATTTATTCTCACAATGTGTGTGTGTGTGTGTGTGTGTGTGTGTGTGTGTGTGTTTGCTGTTACACCTTGAATGAATCAACAATAATCCAAATATAATAAATATGAAGCAGTGATGTGAACACCGGCTGGTTTGTCAATGAGGCATTCATGCCGAGGGTCAGATTCGGGTCAGTCCATCCTCGGCGCTTATCGGGCCGATCTAGGTGACGGGTCAGCGAGACATCTTCCCCTGGCTGTGAGGTGGATCATCAGATTGTAAAACGCTGAGGCCATGACAGCCACATGGGTCAGTGGCAGGTAAGCATCACATCCACGCCGCCATCATCAACGCTCACATTGTGCTCCTGGCGGTCAAAGGCCCTCGCCGCATTTTTCCTGCTTTTCCTTCCTCCAGTCAAAGAGGGACGGGTGGTGGTGGTGGTGGAGGAGGAGGGGGACCACCCAGGCGCTGTGCCCAGCTGGAATGCACCAATCCTGGGAAGGGAGAAAAACCCAGGGAGGGGGCTCCAGACAGCGGAGGGGCTGAAAGCTGTGTGAGGGGAGAATGCCCAGGGTGACACGGAGATATGAAGCCCCACTGTATGGAGCGCCTCCTTGGCCCCGCCGTGAACCCTCTCCTGGACCCAGATCATGTTTCCCACTATGAAATCAGACCTTCCAGAGCAGAGAGCGCAAGTCAATGGTCAGGAACAATCTAAGTGTCTGTCAGCGCAGAGCTCTGCTGCCAGCCGGGCCTGAGGACGTGCGGCCTGCAGGATGGGCCTGGTTCTGTGGCTCCCTTTTCTTTCTGTATCTGCTGGCATGTGTCAGGAGGAGCGACGCTCTTTGTTGTCTCATAATGCATTTCCTTGTACCTTAAGGTAAATGAAGGGAGGAGGAGGAGGAACAACCAGACTTAAATATCAGGGAGGGAAGCCAGCGCGGTCACGTGCGGGGCGGCTTCCTTTCTCTGTGCAGGTCTGTGCACAGTGGGCGTGCACAGTGGGCGTGCACGTGGCTGCCAGCAGCAGCGGGTGGGATGAGAAAAATAATCAAAGCGTGATCATACGGTCGCAGCGGGCAGCAATAACCTCATTATTATTCTGATGGTAGCCAAACAGTTTCCTGTCAACAGTTCGGTTATTTATTGCAGCCTCCATGCCAGCGGCGGCCACAGACCCTCTGTCTTTTAACTGCTATAATTGGCTTCACGCTGCTGCAGCGCCAAGACAGATGCACGCGCTGCACTGCAGGTACCACGAAGGCTGTTTGCAGCGCATGCGTGAAGTCTGCCGTTATGCCATCGGTGCAGATAGACGAGGAGGATTTTATTGAGCAGATACGTTCATACAAAGAAAAGGTCGTTCCTGTTTCAGACCATGAGTTTACAGCAGTGAAGACACGCTGCCGGAGGGTGAGGGGGGTCTAAAGGAGGTCTGGGGATGTTTAAGGAACCGGCCGAACCTGCACCAGCCCAGTACAGAGAAAACAGATTCCTGAAGGAACCTCCTACACATCCAGAACAGGTTCTCTGTGGGCCTGACTGACCTTACACTGTTCTACTTATTTAATCTGAGCTCTTGCTGTAATTGTGCTCATTGCATGAACATCATATAATCAGCTGAGCTCGTTTCATTAATCAGGGACCAGTACGCTGCGTTTGGGTCCAGAACCACAGAGTGTTATAGGGTCTGTTGTTTAGGCTGGAAAGTCAGAAATATTATCAAATGCAAATCCTGGACTTTGGTTTTGTCACTTTGGGTTAAACTGAAACCTAATCAGACAGATCTGAGAGCAAATGACTCCTGGTCCACAGTGACATAGACACAGAACATTTTTCTGATGTTTCGAGTGAAATCATAAAAACAACAACAAAACAACACCAACAGTAATAAATTCAAGATGGACCCTGAACTCCATAAAACATCCTTGAAGAACCTTCCTGAGGGTTTTCAAGGCAGCGTTTTGAACTTAAAAAAGCTCAGAAGGTTCCTTGATGCTCTTCTACTTCTGAGAGAATAAACTTCACGTCATGCTCAGGATCAGAGGTTCTGGTGTGCTGGAGCCGGTCTGATGGTGTGAGCTGGTAGCAGATCACCTCCTCGTCACTCTTTGACAGAAGCTTTCTGGTCACTACATGTGCTAAAGGACGCTGTGAGGCAGCTTGTGAACCTCAGAGATCTTCTGCGACGTCTCCAGCTGAGCCCGGGTTATTCAGATGTCACAGAGAGCAGTCGACCCGTACTGCTGATGGAAGGCCTGATCTGTGGCACTCAGGTGAGAATAAAATGAAAGTAAAACAAGAAAAAAGAACGAATGCTGATTGTTTATTGTCAGTTGAGCGATGTACAAGCAGGACGTGCAGCCAGAGCTGCTCAGACATGGAAGAAATGGAAGAACCACGGTCAGACCAGGACCGCACGCTGAGAAGGAGGAGAACCTCGAGGAACCCCAGAGGTTCTACAAACAACTGTTTTGATTGGATTTAAAGTCTTTATTATTATTTCTACCTAGAATCTATTTTTAAACAGTAAACAGTGATTTCTGTCTGAATTTGGCCAAAAATACCAAACCAGTCTCTAAAACTGGCATCAACATCTAAACTGTTCAAAATAACTCCGTACTTTAACTCTGAGGAAGTTTTTTAATAAAATGAATAAAACAAAGTGTGAGTGAAGGTGTAACGGGTCCATTAGGACGACTGGAAGTTCTGCAGGAGGCCCTCTGACCCGGTGAAGGTTCCTCCAGGAGTTCCTCCAGAGCCTCCGAATTCTGAGACAGTACCAAACGTCCTATAAAAATCTAAAGTAATACGAAGCAGGAAGCAAAATCAAATGTCAAAACAGAAGAAAAACTAAAACTCGAATGCCGGGTTCTCTGTCTCTGCCCATGGCTGCTCATCGTTCATGATCGATTCTCCTGCAAAGTGGAAGAGACGAGATTAGAAACGCACTCCTCGTACGTTGTGACGTCAGTCGGCATCAACCCGCCAGGACTCACCTTTTCTCTTAAATTGCATCATGACCAAGAAAACCAGTCCGACCAGAACCAGAATCAGAATCGCTGAGGCTGCTCCAGCTCCAGCGTACAGCAGCATGGCGGTTCCCATCGACATACCTTCCACAGGAACAACTTTGGTCAGCAGACGTTAGCAGAAAGACAGCAACCAGAACTCCTACATCACAAGTCACTTTTAGAAATAATGGAAACGTCAAAGCACCTATGCAGCTGGGCGGGCTGTCGGTCCAAAGGCCCGTCGGGGAGCAAAGCAGCACCGATGAGCCGTTCAGAGAAGATCCCTCCTCACAGGCGAAGGCACACTGAGAGCCGAAGCTGAAGTTCCCCAGAGGATGGGAGCAGTTCATCGACAGGGAGGAAGACGAGGCCCGGAGGGTTGCACACTGGACCGCTGGACAGGACAGAAACCATCAGCAATAAAGTTACAACAAGATGAAAGCAGAAGGTTCAGAGCTGAAGCTCACGCTGACAGCCGGCCGGAGTCTGGCTCCAGAGGCCCGAGGCGTTGCACGTCATCGCCGGCGCTTCTCTCAACCGGAAGCCCTCGCTGCATTCAAAGCTGCAGACTGAGCCGTAGCTGAAAGGGGAGTCCGGGTGGCTGCAGGTCATCCTCCCATGCCGCGGTGCCTCGGCCAGCAGGGGGCACTGACGAGCTGCAGATAAACTTCAGCTCAGGTTCAGATTTTACAAGACAAACGATTCCAAATGCAGCTCTTTTGCGTTTTGACTCATTACCCTGACAGCGGGGCATTTCTCTGCTCCACCTGCCCTCAGAGGTGCAGTTTGTGTCCGCCGTCCCAGTCAGGAGAAA